GGCCAGACGACCAGGTCACGAGTGTCGAGCAGCGCGCCGTCCGCGGTCTCGAAGATCACAGCCAGTTCCTCCGCCTGTGGGTGGTTGTACCGTCGCAGACCCCCTCCCTCCCGGAGAAAAAAATACAAAAAGAGGGAAAACATGGGGCGTAGATTTGCGGAAGACAACGCAGGCTTGGCGCAGAGATGCCTGTGCCGGTTCGCTCAGGAAGAACTGCCTGCCGTCCCCGGCTGCGACATCCGTCTTGGGAAGCACGCGGACATAGACATCGTCCGGCAGCATGCGGGCTCCGGCAACACCGTGACTCTCGAACAGGTCCCGAGAAGGATACGAAGCTCCCAGAAAAACGCCTTCCAGGGTTGTCTTGGTGAACTCGGCAGACAAGAACAGGATCTGCCGGCCATGCGGGGGGGGAAGCCTCAAAGGGTCCAAACAGGAGGGGCGTCCGAGCCTTGCCTGCGTTGTGTCGCTCCTAAAGCAAGGTGAAGGGCGGATCCAAGGCAACATCAGACCTCCAAAGGATTTGCAGGCTTGCCGGGAAGGAATCCTCTGGGCGCGATGGAACTCAAAGAAGCTGTCCAGCAGGTGAGGCTGTCCTCACTTCCAGCCACGTAGAGAGCAACGCGGTAAGGGACGAAGCCAGCGCTGCAGGGTCTTCCTAATTCGTGAGCTACAGAATGATGCCGAGGTCGCGGAGGGCAGACAAAGTTGCAGGCATGGTCGGGTCCTCCGTGTGCAAGCGCTCAAGGTAGGTGTTGAAGGAAGCCAAGATCCGCCAGGTCACGGAAGGCTTGGCGGCATGCTGCACCTGGATTTGGTACAGAGCATCAGGCGGCAGGTTAGGCAACAGGTCTGTCGTCCTTGCACACCTCAATGGGCGCGTCTGCGGGAAATCAGGAAGTTCGCGACGCAGGAGTTCCGCTACTTTTGGCACTGCGATGCGCATCACGCCGTCCACGGATTGTTTGGTGAGCAGGCGTTTCTTAGGGCTGCCTTGGCTGCCTGGAACTTGGACGCCACGGCGTTGCAGAAACGCAGGGAGCAGCAGCCGGTCAGAGCTGCGACGTTTGAGATGCGGGGCGTTGCGGACCGGCACGGCATGCCAGCAGAAACGCAGACGCAAGAGGAGCGTCAAAGACCGCAAGCAATACGTGCACCGAGGCACGCGCGTGTGGCACGAGCAGCAGGAGCGCAGACACCTCCGGCAAGCCAACTGCAAGGTCACCTGGGCAACAAAATCGGTGCTGGTGGGGCAGTTGGCAAACAGGGGGAGGCGCGACACGTCGCGTGCGGAAGTGTCCCATATACATATGTACATATTTTCGGGGGCCAGGGAACGAATGCTACGCTGCCATTGACTTGAGGCGCGGGCGAGACGGCGCGGAACCTATGCCGAACAGCAGAGAAAACGGGGGCAAATTAATTGGAAAAGGGACACCTCAAGCGGACTTAGTTCACTCGCAAAAGCTGCGAAAAACACGACGGAAACCCACAAAATTTCGGGGAAAAAATTGGGGGGGTTCCGTAACGACGCGGAACCCCCCCAAATATCGTCAAATTTTGGGGGGCTTCCGCGGCACCACGGGCCTTGCTCCCGGCAGCCGTTCGGCACGTGACTTGCGGCCGCAGCAAAACTAGAACACGGCGGTCGGCGAGCTTGCCCGCTGCCAGCGCCAGGCGCGGTGGCAGCAGTCGGCCCGCACCGCCTCGGCACGCTGCAGCCCCAGCAAGGAGAAGGGCCTGCAACCCGCCCGGTGGCTCACGGCCGTCCACGGCAGACCTAGCACACAGGGCAAGGGCGCTGGAGCGAACAAAGCATGGAAAAGGAACACGTTGCCTTTCCGACCCGCGGCACGAACACGCTCGCGGACCTTGTCGGGCAGCGGGCCGTTGAAGGAGGCATCCAAGTCCTCCGTACCGACAGCAGCAGCCGCCGCCGGGTCGCGATCCGCGACGAACTCTGCATCCTCAGCGTCGTCCTCGGCCGCGTCCTCCGCCGCAGCACAGCGTGGCTGCCCGCGCGTCAGCCCGAAGACCAAGTCAAAATCGCACAAGTCCAGCAGGCGGGAGCTGCTGCCGAAGTTTGAGGCAGAGACGGCGCCCGCCGGTGATGAGGCCAAAAGCGGCGCAGAGGGTGAGGAAAGCAGCGGTGGGCGAGGCACTGCTCGCGCGCCCTTGCGTTGCAAGAATGGCCAAAGCGGCAGAGCAGTACCGCATTCGGTGAGACCCGCGGTCGTGGAAGCTGTCGATGTTGGTGAGTCTGGTCAGCTCCAGGTTGCCACGAGAAATGCGGATAGTGTCCTTTCCCACAAACCTCAATTGCCCAAAGGACCTGGAAAGAAGCGAATTCAAGTTGGACCTTATTTTGACCCTGCTCCCCCCCCCTCGCTCCCTCCCCCCCAGCCCCCATGAAAGACCAACCCCACGCAGAAAACGCCAAGAAGGCAAACCCAAAAGGGCAAAAAGTCGGCTTTGAACAGTGGAGAAACTCCTGCAAGGCCTCAAAGCGGTAAAACGCCAGAATATCGTAGCGCTCGCGGCTAAAACCCGGTGCGATAAGGAACCCGGGCTCTTCAAGCAGCAGCTGCGCTGCTGGCCGTTTTGCGCGGCGGCATGGCAAAGAAAACGGAGCCTAGCACAACGACTAGAGCCTGCGGGCACGGCTGGCCAAGCACGGTCGCCCGACAAAGCTAACAGGCAAACAACACAAGATCAAGACCATAAAAGAACATAGGTAAGGGAGGCGGGGGGAGCAGGGAGGCGTCGTGCACATGGATCACCGGGCGTCCGGGCGTTGCAAAGCGTGGCAAGCCAAGGAGCTCGCGAACTGAGATCGGCTGGATGCAAGCGCCAGGTGCTCGGCACGAAATCTTCGAGAAATTTCGACCCGAACAGGTCCCCAAATTTCTTCGAAATTTGGCCCGGTAATTTTTTGGGAAAGCCGCCAAATTCTAAAGAAATTTGCGGGGATTACGTCCGGAGATCTGAGAGCCGGGTTGCCGGAAGCGACCCAAAATTCGGAAAAAAAAATGGCCGGGTTTTGCTAGAACCCCCCCCCCAAATTTCGGCAAAATTTTGCGGCCTTCCGGGCCGCGCGAAGAGGCGGGAGCTTATGCCGCGGAGAAAAGACCGGGACAAGCATATGATTCGGCCGGAGTACCGCTGCAACGGCTTGCCAGCACACGGGAAATGCGACCTCGAAGCCATACCGGTTTATAGGAGAACAAATATATATATATATATATTTAAAACATGGAAAAAAATCCAAATTATATTTTTCGTATTCCTTCCTATTCCCATAAAAACAATATATAATATTTTAGATTTATTTATCTTTAAACACAAAATCAAATATACAATTCAATATACCCTAATAATATTAAAATTTAATCATTAAATATACAATTTCTATAATATCATATTGTTACAATATTATCAAATATAACATATATATATATATAAAAATAAAATAAATACCAATTTTAAATATACCAAACACACATATATACATACACACATTACAAAAACATCAAAATCAACACACAAACACTTGCAAAAACATAACCAAAATAGAGATAAACAAAACCAAAACAAACATAAACAAACAAACAATCACAAAAAACACAGACCAAAAAGACCGACTCTTTTGTCAGGATTTTTCCAACGCGTTTTAGATTGTTTGTCCGTTCTATTTTTCCGATCACCTTTAGAGTAGTTTAAGGTGGGTCTAGGACGCGTTTAGGGTTTAGGATAACCAGGGGTTCGGGATAAGCCCAGTTTAGGGTAGGTTTAGCGCGGGTTTAGTTGGGGTGGTTTAGGGTCATAAGTAAAAAATTGAATGCGTTTAGTTTAATTAAGGATTAAAGTGTATTTAAAGTGGGTTTAGTGGGATTCCGGTAATTTAGGGTGGGATTCAATATTTATTGGGTAGAAAGTTCACGAGGTTCAAGATCCTAGGCTTAGGGTAGGCTTCGGGTAAGTGTGGTACGTATAGGGGAAGTAGGTTATTGGTTTGGAGTAGGATGGGTTTAGGGGTATATTCGTGCTTACCATCATCCCGGATATCCTTAATGCATAAATCGCCACCTTCACGAAGATATTTAGCGGGCGCCTTAATCAAACAAAACAGGACAATAAAAGCAAGCTGAGTGACAGGCATCTAACTCGCTCTTGTGGCGCAGTTTAGGGTTGGTTTAGGGCGGGTTTTGGTTTTGGGTTCAGGTTCAGGGTGCGTTGGGGGCTTGGTTTAAGGTGGACTTGTTGTTCAGGGTTGGTTCAAGTTAGGTTTGGGGTGGGGTAGTTGAGGGTGGGCTTAAGGGTTCAGAATTGTGGATTTGTGGGTTTATGGGTTGGTTTAGAGTTGGCTTAAGGCTGGTCTAGATAGGGTGTGTTTGCAGTTGCTTTAAGTGGGTCGGTTTAGGATTGGTCTAGATGGAGTTTGGGTTAGTTAGGTGGGTTGAATTAAGGTAGGGTTGGTGGTTTTGTGTTTAAAGTACACTGGGGGGGCTCAGGGTGCTTCATTGCTTGCTTGCCTGCTTCCTGGCTCTCTTGTACTTGCTTCCTTGCTTGCGTGCGTGCGTGCTTGCCTGCTTGCCAGGGGGTTGGAAAAACCAAACCCAGCGGGAGAAAAATTCCCTAAATAATAGAGCACCCCGCCAAAAACCACAAAGAAAAACAGACAAACACAGACAAACACAAACGGACAGGCAGACGCACACAAACGACGAAGACACACAGACACGGACTGAGAGAGACAGACAGCGAGACACAAACAGAGACAGACCAGCAAGCAGAGATGGACAGAGATCCGCTCCGAGAGGCTCCGAGTTCGCTCTGAGCGTACGCCCGCACAGTGTCGCACATATTAGCGCATCTGTCTCGGAGAGCTGGCTTTTAATTAGTTGCCATACCATGGAAGTTCCTTCGAATTCTGATTTACCAATATACCATCAATCTATCTGACACATAGCAACTACTCTGACAGAAGCGGAGGGCTATTTCTCCTGCTCTGCTGCAATCTTTTCCACGCGGGCATCTAATCATTGTGATTGCCTTGCCCGATATTGTCATTGACGATGTGACTCCGGCGCGGGAGAGAGCTGGCCATAAGTAAGCGCAGGCAGCTGCAGGCGGAGACAACTTAGCGCGTAGGCACAGTGTCGATTGACTCAGGCTTGGGCAGCGCGCAAGGAGTATCCTTGCACCTTGATAGCATCTCCCAGCTGAGTGTAGGAAACTGCCTCCTACCTCAACAGGTGGCTGTTCAGCGTGTCCCAGCACCGGTGAGATGGAACGACTGGTCTTCGGGTCTGCTCGTCTTCTCATGCTCCTCCGTCTTCGAAAGCCTACGGTCTTCACCGCATGGGGCGTTGATTTGTCGACTTGCTCTTCGCAGCACCTCTTGGAACTCCAGAAAACATCAAGTGGTGTGGAAGTCAGCTTCGTGAACCTCAGAGGTCTCATCAGCCTCAGGCTCCTGGAAAATGGAAACTCTGCTTGGGACCTGGTGAGTGTCACCTGGAAGAATGGTTGCAGAAAACAAGTTGCCCGGGGAAGGGCGGGGAAGGAAGGGCGGGGAAGGAAGGGCGGGGAAGGAAGGGCGGGGAAGGAAGGGCGGGGAAGGAAGGGCGGGAGGGGAAGGAAGGGCGGACAAGGAAGGGCAGGGAAGGAAGGGCGGGGAAGGAAAGCAAAAAGGAAGGGCGCGGAAGGAAGGGCGGGGAAGGAAGGGCGGGGAAGGAAGAGGGCGGGGAAGGAAGAGGGCGGGGAAGGAAGAGGGCGGGGGGGAAAGGAAGGGCGGGAAAGGAAGGGCGGGGGGAAGGAAAGGCGGGCGGGCGGGCAGCGCAGGCGCATGCGCAGGCAGCGGGCGAATGCGCAAGCGCGCGCGCGCGGTGCGTGCGCGCGGTGCGCGCGGTGCGGTGCGGTGCGGTGCGGTGCGGTGCGGTGCGGTGCGGTGCGGTGCGGTGCGGTGCGGTGCGGTGCGGTGCGGTGCGGTGCGGTGCGGTGCGGTGCGGTGCGGTGCGGTGCGGTGCGGTGCGGTGCGGGTG